TCCCAGGTCTGGGCTGGGCTGTGCGGTGCAACTCGGTGCAAGCTCACTGGCCTTCACTGTGCGACCTATGCAATCTATAAAATGGGTAGATCCCATGTGCAAGGCTGTGGGGAAGACTACAGATAGCGAGGAGGTATGTGTCTGGCACCAAGAACGTGTGGCTAATTTTATTTGGAGGAGATGCCAGTGCGTGGAGTAGAGGGGTGGCCCTGGTGCGGTGGGAGGGAGTTCTGTCTCTAGGGCTCAAGGACAGCATCACAGAACAGGGGGCAGGGAAGTGTTTCCCACACTGCCTGTGCCTCCTCCCTTACATCCCCCACCTGACAGCAGCTAACTCGGGCCCTGAGAGCTGCCCCAGGTGGGCTGAGCCCTCATGGGCCCTGCTGAGGATTCCAGACTCTGTGCATTTGCCCAGGGAGGATTGGTAGCTGCTGCCAACTCTGGCAGGCTCTGCCGCTGGCTGCGGAGGAGGCAGTTGGGAGGCCAGCTAGGGAGAAGGTGGCCGGGGCCAGCAAACCCAGATTCCCAGGAGGGCCTAGGACGGCAGCTGTTGGACAGTTCTGAGAAGCGGCGGACTGGGCAGCCTGTTCAGTCACCTGCACTTCCCGACTGTGCACCCTGTGTGCTGGGTGCCGCGCTAGACACAGGAGCTAAAGAGAAAAACAAGACTCTGGCTTTGTCCTGGGGGCTTCGAATGAGCCTGATCTGCTCTGGGTTTAGCCATCTGGAGCTGGAAGGAAGAGCTGCCATCTGCACAGACTCTTAGAACGTCCCGGCTAAGAGGCAGCTGTGCACATCACTGAGACATGATGAAATGGCTCAGAGACGGGCAGACACTGGCTTGGGGTCACTCTGCATTCAGACCGGATCTGTCTCCAGCAGCCCAGTCCTCAATGCTCAGCACGACTTTTTGATACTTTAAGGACACATTCCACAGTTGCTCCCCATAGCTGGGCTGGCGGCGGGGGAGGGAACCCTGACACAGGATGGTTTAGCTTTGGAGTGGGACGAACACAAATCCTGGTTCTGTCTCTTCCCGGCTGCGGGACCTCAGTTTCCTCATTTGGTAAACGGGAGGGCTTGAGGCGACCTCAACGGGCTCCTGATAGGGGGTTCTCGGGCCAAGGCACGCATGCAACGGCGAGCACAAAGCGGCTGTTACTGTTCTCCCTCCCCCATGCTGCGAAGCGCCTCGGGCTCGGGGCTGACGGAGACTGCCCCAGCGATCTCCCAGACGAAACGGGGAGCCCGCAGCAGGACCCTGCAGCCCAGATGGGGGTCCCAGGAGAGCCGCTTCCCCGCCGCACCGCCGGCGGCGCTTCGGGAGCAAGGGAGTCTTGGTGCCACAGCCCCCATCGCGCCCCGGAGCCGCCCTCCCAGTCCGCCATCTCCCCGGGTGGGACCCTCAGCTCACCTGCCTCCCGGAGAGATCACGGACTCGGCTCCTGCCACCGCAGTTCTACGTTCTAGTACCCGGGGCCCACGTGGGGGCGGGGCAGCTCACCCGGAAGCAGCACCCCCACGGCCCGCCCCCTTAGGGCAGCCCCGCCCCGGGGAGGACCCGCCCACAACAGTAGAGCTGGCCAATCGGGTGTGGAGGGGGCCTGACGGCCCGCCTTCCCGGGCTCGGCCGGCGCAGGGCCCGCGCTTGGGCGGGGAGAGCCCACGTGGGAGCGCCTGACCCGAGCTGGCTGGACCGTGCGTGAGAGCCTGCCTCCAAGGCAGTCCCAGCGCGGGCTGAGCTTGGCGGGGGTTCTCGTCCTAGCCCGGAGCAAACTTGGCGCTGGTTAGTTGTTGAAAGAAAAATTTGATGACGAAGATACTAAAACAACACCGTAATGCCTAACACAGTAGCTGGGTCCGTTTTTTGCGGACTGAGCATTTTATAGTGGGTGAGTTCAGCGCCGTGGGATTTTCTCTGCAATGCCTGATAACTGTGCTCCTTCAACCCACAGGGGTAACTGCTACTCATTTTTCCCAGTTCAGACCCCTGCCCAGCATTCCTTTCACAACACCTGTTCCCTCTCTGAGCTTCTAACTAAAAATAATCAGGACCCATGTATTTCTTAGAGCTGGAACCTGGTAGCAAAATAGAAATGTTGCCGGTCCATTTTTCCCATGCCTTGTTCTGGACTGGAAGATCTTTTCCCTTTAAAAATAATTTTACCTTCATCTTTCATCCACAAAATATTGTGATGAGAATATAAGTCTTGAACATAATGTGGGATAAAGAGTCAGACACAAGAGTACATATTTGGTTTCTATGAATTAAAGCCAGGCAAGATGACTCTGTGCTGTTAGAAGCTGGAACACCAATTGTCACTGGGGAGATGGGCAGGGCTAAAAGGGAGAGTGATGGGTCTTTCTCAGGGGGTTGGCAGTGTTTATCAGGGAGTGAGTTACATGGATATGGTTAGTTGGTTAACATTCATCAAACTTTACACTTACTTGCCCCTTTTAGTATTAATATTATACCACAATAAAAAGTTAAGCCAGTTGTGAGTGCCTGCCAAGCAGGAGCATGGTATTAGACTAAATGCCATGGAGAAAAGAAAGGAGACCCAAAGCAGGTGGGTGGTTTGCAAGGTGCTGGGAAGATGAGGGCATGGGAATAACTACTTAATGTGTACAGAGGGATGGAGATATTTTGAAACTAGATAGAGGGTATGGTTGCACAACATTGTGAATGTATGAAATGCTACCCCATGTTTGCTTAAAAATGGTTAACTTGGGGCAGGTGTTGTGGTGCAGCAGGTTAAGCCCCAGCTTGGAATACTTGCATCACATACTGGAAGGCTTGGGATAGAATCCTGCCTTTGTTTCCAAGCCAACTTCCTGCTAATGAGCCTGGGGGTAGCAGATGATGGCTCAAGTACTTGATCCCTGCTACCCACATGAGAACCCAGATGGAGTTCTGTGTTCCTGGCTTCAGCTGACCCAGTCCTGGCTGTTGCAGACATTTGGGGAGTGAACCAGTGGATGTAACCTCTGTCTTTGTCATTCTGCCTTTGAAATAAAGAAACTTAAAAAAAAAAATGGTTTTTGTTCCATGAATTTCATCATAACTTTATTTTTTAAAAATATTTATTTCAAAAGGCAGAGTGACGCAGAGAAAGATCTTTCTGTCTGCTGGTTCACTCCCCATATGCCCCAAGCAGCTATATAACTTGTTGCTACATGTGCCTGTTCTTCATCTTAGGCTTAAAAAGTGAGCTCACTTCCAATTTTTGTTCGGACATTTTTATAGAAAGTTTGTTAGTAGTAAAACAGGTGCAAGGCCAGTGCTATAGTATAGATTAAGCCTCCGCCTGTGTTCTGGTATCCCATATGGGCACTGCTCAAGTCTAGCTCTCTGCTTGTGGCCTGGGAAAGATGGGAAGATGGCCCAAGTGTCTGAGCCCTGCAACCACATGGGAGACTCGGAAGAAGCTCCTGGCTTCAGACTGGCCCAGCTCCTGCCATTGTGGCCATTTGGGGAGTGAATCACAGGATGAAAGACACACCCCCAGCTCCCGCTTTCCGTCTATATTACACGTTTCTTAGTTTTGACAAAGGCACCATGGTTTATGCAGTACGTGAACACAGGGAAAGTTGAGTGAAGAGTATGAGATTCCTGCAATTCTGTGAAACTTTTCTGTAAGACTGTTCCAAAGTTTGTTTGTTAAAATAAAACAGAAGCACAGCTGAAGGCCACCGGGACCCCAACAGGATCCCCATTCTTGTACATTGGTGCGATCTTGGGCAGGTCCCCTCGCTCCAAAGAGCCTTTCACCCGTCAGTGAGAGGTCTGGGGAGTGAACCAGCAGATACAAGACCTGGCTCTCTGCAACTCTGCCTCTCACATAAATCAATCAATCTAAAAACAAAAAACCAAAAACCTGTAGTTTTAAGCCAAATATTTCTAAGGAAAAAAATTTTTTTTTTTGGTGTAAGATTGGTGAGGAGGGGCAGGATGGATGGAGTTATAATGCAGTTCTTTTGGGATTCACTCCTGACAGGTGCAGTCTTATGATGGAGTAGCAGAATAGATGGAACGAGCTGTCCTTACGCAGGGCTTGTGTAACTGGTTTGTTTGACAGGAAGCAGGGTTGGGGGGAGGACTGTAACGCAGCCATGTTCCAGAAGGTTCACTTGGCTAGTACAGAGGGGAAGCAGAGATGAGGCAGGAAACTCAGCTCAAAGGAAGCCACAGGAGTCCAGATGGGACTTGGCTTAGCCTACAGCGGTGCTCATGGGAATTATGAAAGGATGTTTCTGCTGTGGACAGGGAAAAACCCATTGGATCAACTGACCGTGAAAACCTGCATACAGTTCTTCAAAAAAATATTTATTTGAAAGAGTTAGGGACAGAGAGTGATCTTGCAACCTCTGGCTCACACCCTACATGGCTGCAACAGCCAGGGCTGGGCCAAGCCAAAGCCAGGAGCCAGGAGCTTCTTCCAGGCCTCCCACATTGGTGGCAGGGGCCCAAGCACCTGTGCCATCTACTGCTGCCTTCCTAGGCCATTAGCAGGGAGCTGGATCGGAAGTGGAGCAGCTGTGTCTCAAACCAGGGCCCACATGGGATGCTGGCAAGGCAGGTGGTGGCTCTACCCACGAAGCTACAATGCCAGCCCCGATATGCATGAACTTTTTATGATTTGAAAAGACTGCGTAGGTTAGAGTGCGGTTAGGAGCAGTGTGGTTAAAAGGTAATGAGGGTGACAGCAGGGCTGCTTCCCAGGGTCTAAGAGGTAGTTTTGGCAGGCATTCGGAACAGCGCCAGACGCAGTGGGAGCTCAGGAAGTGGCGTCGCTGGCTTTCTAAGGTGCCAGCCATGATCAGGCTCGCGCCAGCTGAGCAGCAGCACCCTTGCCTGTGAGCGAGCGGCATCTGCTGGCCGCCAGCGGTGATGCAGGCTCCCGTGTTTCCAAGATCTGGCCCGGGGATCACACCCCAGACACTGTATGGGGACTTGATCAGTGGCTCCTCTCCAAAAGCACACGGGGAACACGCAGGCGTCATCTCTTCTAACAAGAACGTTCTTTATTCGTACAAAGCATTACAATCTTCTCAACAGCCATCACTCATTGAACGCCTCCCTGTGTTCATTTAACAAGTTGACAGTGTCAGACTACACTTCCCTACCTGTCAAACCCAAGCGCTCAACCTGCAAACAGAACAGTGCTTGTAGCACTGACCCAAAAGAGAGAAAGGCTCAGAGAGGCCAACAGGGGTGCTTTAGAAGCAGCTCGGGGGCACGGCTGGTGGGCCAGCCATTACATTCCTGAGCGCCATCTGACTGCCCTAAAGGGTTTGTATGACATTCTTTTTAAAAGCCGAGAGATTAGAACTAAGAAAGCAGAAGGACTTGCACTTTGGAATACTAAGCAGACTGTCAAAGTTCCCAGACTGGCAGGACTGAGAGAGAAAGTGGAAATGAGAAGAGCCACAGGAGCGGAGGGAGAGCTGTGCCTAGAGGGGAGAAGGTCTGGAACTCTCCGTGAACTGAAGGAGGACGCTCAGGCCCCAGCCCGGGAGGCGGGCTTGGCCTCCAGCAGGTTCTCAAGTGCACATGGCGAAGGCAGTGAGGCGCCTGCTCCGTAAGACCCCGGCGTCCCTGCCTGCCTGCCTGTGGTCTCCACTGTTCAATCCGGAGCGCGTGAGCTCAGAGCGCGGCGCCCGGCCCGGCCCGCCCCAGGCAGGCTGCCTAAGGCACACAGATGAGCTCCAGGGTGAGCGGGTCTAACAGAATCCACTCCCACGGATGTTCCTGCCAAGGGGAGAGACAACAGAACAGATTTCTTTAATCCTCCAGTTCTCTTAGCAGTGTCCTAAAGCCAACCGCCTGACCACTTCACGGGTTTCCACGGCCACATCGTGTGCAAGGAAGCCCAGCTTTCTGGAGCCTCATGGCCTCTGAGACTTGGAACACAGCAGGCAGCAGGGGAATTACGACTCTCTTCAGGGGTAGGAGGACTGGGGGTCAAAACCTACCCAGCCATACATGTAAGTCAACACGAGAGATCACACTGACTAACGGAGCGAGCTGTTCAGTGACGACCGCCCGCTCAAGGAAGCGGCACAGGGCTGTGCCAGGCGGCTGCGCGGCGTCGGGAGCGCCGGTTCGGCTGGCGGCCTGCATCTGCTCTTGCACTCCAGCCCCAGGGCAAAGCAGCGCCGCCCGCCTGCCTCCTGAGGTCCAGACTCCCGCAGCACTCAGTTGTCAATCTCCTCCTCTTCGTTCTGCTCTTCTTCCTCCAGCCTCTCCTCATCTTCGTCGTTGTCCTCGTCCCTGCTCTTGTCCGGCTCTTCCGAATCCGCCTTTTTGTCTTTGTCTTTCTTCTTCTGTTCCGAAGCTTCCTTCTTGCCCCTCTGCTCCCGCCTATAGGCTGCAGGAAGAGGGGCGGGGTTAGGAGACAGGGCTGGGGGAGACAAGCGGGGACCGCAGCCGGCAGCATCACTGGACAGCTGGAAAAACCAAGGGACACGAGCAGAAAAGGACCTGGCGAGCAGCACCGAGAGGTCTCGGGTGGTGCCACTGAACTACGTCCGGTCACATCCGGTACTGGCTTTCTGGGCCACTCTTTCACAGTCCCAGGGCCACATCAACAGGTCACCCGTCTTCCATGTGGTTTGGGAAACAGAAGGGTACGGGCAGGCACTGGGGGCAGGGATTAAGGCGCAGCTCGGAACGCACGCATCCCATACCTGTACAGGAGTGCCTGGTTTGAGTCCCGGCTCCGCCACTTTAGAGCCAGCCTCCTGCTGGTACACCTTGGATGGCGCAAATACCTGGGGCCCTGCTCCCCACGTGGGAGACCCAGAGGAAGGGCAGGGGTCCGGCCCGGCCCTAGCTAACCTGGGCATTTGGGGAGTGAACCGGAGGGCGGAAGATCTCGCTGTGTTTGACGGTCTCTCTCTCTCTCTGCCTTCCAAATAAAGTGAAGAAGAAGAGAAGCCACGCGGGGGGCGTTACCTTCCAGGGCCTCCTTCAGCGGGGCGACGAACCTCTGGAACTCCATCTCCTCCATGGCGGACAGCACGTCGCTGGCATTCAGGGTCTTGCGTTTCCCTTTCATCGCGAAGTTGTTGGCACTGAAACAAAGCAAAAAGGGCTCTAAACGGCTGCCCCCTTCCCTCTTTCGGACGCGAAAAGGGGCACCCAGGGGTGGGAAGGGAGAACCCAGGCACATCTTGGCCGTACAGATGTTTGCGTAACCGCATAAACCCTGCCCTTGCCCGTACCTAAGTCTGCTGTTCGAACAGACCCGGGAAGACCCGGGAGGGGGGTTTACATGGGTCCCAGACCACAACTCCCAGCAGCGGTTCCCGGTGTCTCCCCTCACCCCCCAGGCCTTAGACCCAGCCGGACGCCGGCTCGCTCTGTCCTGCTCACCACGATGTGGCGTACAGCACGAAGACGCTGGCGGCGCGGGAGATGGCGCTCCGGGCCTCCTTGGAGATGTTGACACCTTCCGGGAGCTGTGATGAGGGCGGGAGTGAGCAAAGCCGCCGGCCCAGGACCTGCTTCCCTTCTGCCCGCTCGTCCGCCCCCGGCCCATCGCCAGCCCGAGCTGCTCACCGCCTCCTTGATGATCCTGGTGATGACGGCGTTGGGCAGGTTTAAGTCCTCGGGCCTCTCTGCCATGGCCGCGGTCGAGGCCTGAGTCTGAGCCTAGGGCCTCCTCCCCAGGTACCTCCAGCGTCCGGACTTCCCGCGCCGCTGCTGTCTGACCCTCCGAGGCTTCCGTTCCGCCTCACGTAGGCCGCACCGTGTCCCACAGTGCCCCGCGCCCCCAGCCTTCCTCCTACGCCAGCCCCGCCTTTCCACCTCAAGACGCTTTGCACCCGAACCTTTTGCGCTCGTAGCGGTTTTGGCTCGCTGGATCTTTTGGTCAGCGCCCACCGTACGCCGCCGCACGTTCTTCCTCAGAAGAGTGTCTCTGCTTCACGCTCCCGCTACATCCAGAGCTTTCGCCTCGAACTAAGTATGGCCCACGGAGGCTTCCGTCCGAGCCCCATCGTGCTCTGCGCCGTTGCTTGGCGACGGAGCGGCCTCGCGCCTCGCGTGGGAGACGGAGGCGTGGAGCCGAGGCGGCTGGGTGGGGCCCCTCCGGACGAGAGGCGGGGCCTGGTGAGCCATTACCGCCGAGCTTCTCGCCGGGCGGGGCTGCGTTGGGCCCCTGGATTTCGGGAACCCTCGGGGTTTCATCTTTGCCGTGGTCCCGCGGAGCCGGGACCCTGCGAGGCGGAACCGCTCCCTCCCGACAGCCACAGTGTTTTTCCTGTTCCAGAACGCAGCGGGGAATCTTTCTTCAGCCCTGCGCTTGCCGATGTCCATCCATCTTTCCGCCCCTCACGGAGCTGTGCTAATCCTTACCAAGGATAGGTGTTAGCTAGGCTTTTTTGGGGAGTTACCTTTTTTTTTCCCTTGAGCTCTTGTTCACAGCGGGATGCGCCTGACCAGACTTAGAGGTTCATTTCGGGCTGGGCAGGAAAGGGCGGGAGCAGCCGCTTTTAAAATACTGCATCGTCCCATTTAAAACAGCCTTGTTAAAATTGCGTTTAGTTTTAGTTCATTACATTGTGTGTCGTACACCTTTCCCAGGCAAAATCATACCCAAGGGTTTCTTCTTCTTCCTCTTCTGTAATTAACAAATCTTTTTTATTTGGGAAGAGAGAGAGGAATCTTACATCAGGTTCAGTCCCCAGATGCTGGCCAATGGGTGGTGAGCCAGGTGGAAGCCAGGAGCCTAGAACTCAATCCAGGTCTCCCACGTGGATGGCCAGGACCCAACTACTTAAGATTTAGATATTTGAAATATATATATATATATAAAGAGAAAGCGAAGGAGATCTCCCATCTGCTGATTCACTCCTCAAATGGCTGTGCCCAGCTGGGCCAGGATGAAGCCAGGAGCCCCTACGTGGGTGCAGGGGCCCGAGCATTTGAGCCATCCTCAGCTGCTGTCTCAGGTACATTAGCAGGGAGCGGGATCAGAAGTGGAGCAGCCGGCACTGGAACCGGTACCCATATGGGATGCTGGCACTGCAGGTGGCGGCTTTCCCCAAGTTGTATTCCTTTCACATTAGGTATGTGGAAATTCTTACTGCCACTGAGAACTAATCCAGTTGTTTTTTTCCCCTTGAAGCATGCTGTCTCAAATTTTTCTTGCTTTTGATGGATACATGATTAGAGCAAGATACTTCCCTATTAGAAAAACAGCAGAGCACATGCCATGGTAAAAGGCAACCAAACTTGAGCTAGAGACCAGGACCTCGTGGGGGTCCTACTGCACTTGGCTAGGGCAGACTGGGCGTAGAGATGCCAGGAGCTGGAACGCTTCAGTCAATTGCTGTGTAGTTGGAATTGGGCCCAGTGTTGTCAGATGTTTAGATCTGTAAGAGGAGCCAGAAATCTGGATATTAGGGACTATTTCGATTTTTGGTAGGCTCAAAGTGCTTGCCAAACTAAGCAGGTCAGGTTGGGTGCAATCCAAGGCCAATAGTTCGCTGTCTTTGATCTGACAAGGTGTTCAGAACATGGTTTGCTTATCAGTGTTCTCCGTGCCCCAAACGAGCCCTCTCATATGTTTGGTAGTCAATAAACATGTTGGATAAAAGAAAGAAGAAGTGGACACTGTCCTTAAAAAGCATTAGGGATGGAGAGGTAGTGATTGCCTGAAACGTCTGCAGAGGGAGGAAGATTCTGAGCACTGATAATACCACCAATTCAAGTGTATTATCTTATTTAACGATTCCACAGTTCTGCTTAGGGGTTCACACGCGCGCGCGCACACACACACACACACACACACACAGAGCCGCCTGCCCCAACCACACACTTTATGTGAGGAAACAGGCTAAGATGAAGTCACTTGCCTAAGACCTTATGCTTACAGCCAGTAAATGAAAAAGTAATGACCTCCGAAGCAACTACAAGTCTACTGATTTGCTATTTGAGTGTTCAAACCCATGCATTGCTGGGATTTTGCCTGCATGGGAATCAGCATGGGGGTAAGTCTGCAGAAATGTGGAATTAAAAGATAGGTTTATTTTGGAGCAAAATATTTTCAAACCCATGTGTAGTTTTTTCATAGTTCTCATTTTTCATAAAAACTTTGAAGAATCTCTGCATGGATTTCAAAATGATTTTGCACTAAAGAACGTCTCTTTTAATGCCATTTTTCATGAACATTTTGAAGTACCCTCATACTGGAAAAGGAAGCCTGCCTTCCAAAGGTTTGAGTCATCTAAAGTGATTGTATGACTACATTGGTTTTAATTTAAGGCTTTTGGAGATAATGGCACCTTCTCCCTGATCATTGACTAAGGAGAACTGGAAATGATGCTAATGCTTATTTTAGCTTATATGTCAAGCCTTTAATATTTATTAACTAATTTGGTAATGTCTGTTTAATAGGCTTATCCCCATTTTGCATACGAGGAAACTGAGGCTCAGATTAAAGTCCCAGATCACTCAGATATTAAATGAATGGCCAATTAGGAGGAGACCTTCTGAATTCCGTCCCCAAACTCTTACGTCACTCTGAGATGTTTTCATGCCTGTTTATTTCCCAACCTTTAGTTATCCAATGACCATTTACCAATGAAAGTTCAGTAGAAATATTTTGTGCATTGAGTCCAAATACTGCATGGTTTATGTGTAATATTCCCTAATTATTATTTGTTGATTTCCCAGAGGGGTAGAACACTGCAGGGCTGGCCATTGTCCTAAACCTTTTACAGCTATGGACTTGCCAGATGAGACCCAGTGGGATGAAACCACCTGCAACTTAGCTCTCTGTCAGCATCCACAATGCTGGGCATCTTTCCGCCGGATTGAGAGGGGCCATCCTCGGATCCTGGGCTCACCCTGCCAAACCCCCGTGGGTCCTGAAGGTAACTTAGCATCTGGACTCTTCCTCGCAAGGTCCGTAAGCTGTGTATGCTCGGCTTCCTTTCTCTAGGCAGCATGTTACATGTTTCCTTCTGGTCTGCTTTCTCAGATAAACTCCCCATGCTCACGGTGGTAAACATCTCAGACTCCTGCTTCCGGGCCAAGAGACTTGCTCGTCGTCCATTATTAGCATCTGCCGTCAGCAAGGCTCATGCCTTATTGTCTCGGGAATCAAAATTTGACTCAAAATTTCAAGACAGGTGATGTATCACGGAATCTTCTGTTAACATCCCATTGTCTCAGAAAATGCTGGGTTGTGATATTCCTGACCGATGCAGTAGGCTTTGAGAAGCTGCATTGAAAGGAAAATACTAGTTCAGAAGAAGAAAGCATTGCTGCTTGTGTTCCAGGAGTTGGCTAATCTGGGACGTATGTTGGTTTGGTAGGGCTGCTGCAATGGACAGCATGGTTTCAAGAGCAGACGTTTATTTTTTCACAGTCCTACAGGCTGGAAGTTTAAGATTGAGGTGTCAGCAGTATTTTTTTTTTTTTAATTTATTTATTTGTTTGAAAGAGATACAGAGCGAGAAGTGAGGGCGGGGGGGAGAGCGAGTGAACTTTGATCTGCTGGTTCACTTCCCAAATGGCTGTCACAGCTGGGCCAGGCCAAAAACAGGAGCCAGGAGCTTCTTCTGTGTCTCCCACGTGGGTTCAGGGGCCCAAGTACTTGGACCATCTTCTCTTGCTTTCCTTGGTGCATTATCAGGGAGCTGGATCAGAAGTGGTGCAACTGGGACTGGAACCGGCGCCCATATGGGATGCTGGCACTGCAGGTAGAGGCTTAACCGTCCACACCACAGCGCCGGCCCCAGCAGTGTTGTTTTCTTCTGGGACCACTTTCCTTGGCTTGTAGGTGGCCAGCTTCCTGCCGTGTCTTCACATGATCTTTCCTGTGTGCCCATGTCCTCATCTGCTGTTTCTATGAGCACGCCAGTCATGTTGGATTATAGCCTGCCCATGTGATCTCATATTACCCTATCACCTTTTTAGACAAAGACCTGATCTCAGATGGTGTCACATTCTGAGGTATTGAGGGTTGGGACTTCAACAGATGGATGGGGTAGGGACAGGATCTTATCAGTTGATCATCAGAAAGTGGGTGCTCACGTGTGGTCCTCCTTATCTCTTCCACAAATACTGGAAACTACTTGTAAGCTCCCCAGAGCAGAAGCAGGAGCTTGTCTTTTGGAATCTCCTACACAGTCTAGGGACGCAGCTGGTGCTTGCGATGTGTGTGAAACTAAGGGACTGGGCGACCCTGTTGCTCGTGGTGGCCCTTGTGGGGGCTTCTTCACTCCTGTTCCAGACAAGCAGTCCCAAATGACGTCTCTTGGGGGAGAGAAGTAGAGGAGAGGTCAAGGCTACTTTCAGGTTCTCTGGGACTTGAACTCTTGGGAAACAGCAGCATCTCCCCGAGGAGACCTGCGATGCCCTTCGCTCGCACCCCTGCCATGCCCGTGCCTGCGGTGTGGTGCGGAGCTGTGAGCAGGCACCTCATCCAGGCAGCCCCTGGTCTCCGTGTTTTCTCCCCTCAGTGCCTCTTTCTTTGTGCCTCATGCCTTCTCCTCTCGACCCTCCTTCCCTCATGGGTAGGCTTTCGCAGTGGCTTCTGCATTGGTCTCTCTGCTTTCTCCCTTGCAGCCACCTTATGTGTGACTGACAGATTAATTTTCCAGAAGTAGTACTTTACTTATCAGCACTTCCCTACTGAAGAACACCTAGACCCAGACCTGTCTCCTGGAGTTGTGGCCTCTGTGCGTTCTGGCCCCTCTTGAATCACGAAGTCCTGTCTTCTCCGACACCACCTTTTCCTCTGAGCCAGACTGGTTTTCCGTTTGTGCTTTCCTGTCCCTGACACTTTGCTATGCGAGTTCCCCACCCCTAGGAGCCCTTCACCCTGGCCTCTGCTTCACTGGGTGCCTGGCAGGCCTGGGAGGCTGTGCAAGATGCTGTCTTCCTGACGGACCTCTTCTCCCATTCATTCCTTATTCAGTAGGTTCCAGCCACACTGCTCTTTCCATTGCTCACGTACTCCACACGTCCCACCCCGGGGCTTGTACACCTGCTGTGGCCCCTGAGTGGAACCACTTTTCCTGGGTCAGGGTTTTTCTCTGTCTTGTACATCACGGAGTGTTTAGCTACATCCCTGGCTTCTACCCATTGAGTGGCAGTAGTACCCCCTTGTGACAATTGCGACAACCTCTAGAAATTGTCAGATGTCCCCTGAGAGGGGAAATTGCCTCTGATTGAGAAATGTCGCCCTTAGTTCCTTCCATGGCTAATTCCTTTTTATCTTTCTGGTTAAGCTTAAAAGTTGCATTTCCACAGAGATCTTTCTTGAACAGCCTACCTAAAATTTCCCTAAGCCCTCACCCTCATTTAACCTTGCTACTTTTTTCTTTAGTTCTTCTGATTGTAAATGATTTTTATTGATTTGTTTGTCTCCCCTCATTAAGGAACCATGTGTATTTTGTTTACTGCTCTGTCCCTGTGCCTTGCATAGCACATGGAATAGAGCAGAAACTCAGTAAGTACTTGTTGAATGAATGAACATGGCCTCCTGTTTCAGGTTTGAGTTTCTTGTTTACTACTGGTCCTGGGGGCACACCCTTCCAGTCTACCCGGGCACTTACTGCCCCTAGTGTGCTTACTGATAATTTTATGCCTATGTTCTTTTGCCCACTAGATTTTAGGCCCTTTGAAGTCAGGGGGCACAACATCATTCATTCATCTAATCTCTCATTCAATTCAGAAATGTGTTTTAATGGGGGCCACTGTGATCGACCCTGGGGATACAACAATAAACAAGATACAGTCTTTACCCTCGAGGGCAAAGCCTCTTTGGAGAGGCAAAGAAGGAATCAGGGAGGGCTGTCTGGTATATGAGTGTCATGAAAAGACCGAGTGTGTGGAAGCCCAAGGACACTGTCATCTGGCCCAGTGTCACCTGTGCCTAGCCCTGAAGTTTGGACAGCCCGGTGAAGTAGGGGCTGCAGGGGAGGGTGGCACAAAGGAAATCTGAGCTCTAGGAAGATCACATGCAAAGGCCTGGAGGCAAGCGGGCTTTCTTCAGGTATCAGGGAAGTAGTTCATTGTGTCTGGGACATAGAGTGGAAGTAGAAGAAGCGTCAGAAATGAGGCTTGGAGTAATAATACCAGTAGAAAGGAGGGGCCTACATCACATAGGACTTTGTAGATCAGGCTGAGAATTGAGTCTTTTATCTTACACCTCTGTGAATTATTGATTCATTAGAATATTTAACACATTTTTTTTTTTTTGATAGGCAGAGTTAGACAGTGAGAAAGAGAGACCGAGAGAAAGGTCTTCCTTCCGTTGGTTCACTCCCCTAATGGCCGCTACGCCTATCTGAAGCCAGGAGCCAGGTTCTTCCTCCTGGTCTCCCATGCGGGTGCAGGGCCCAAGCACCTGGGCCATCCTCCACTGCACTCCCGGGCCACAGCAGAGAGCTGCACTGGAAGAGGGGCAACCGGGACTAGAACCTGGTGCCCACATGGGATGCCGGCACCGCAGGCGGAGGATTAACCAAGTGAGCCATGGTGCCAGCCCATTGTAACTATTTTTTATAGAAAGCTTTTATTTAATATATATATATAAATTTCCTAAGTACAACTTTTATATACTATAAAAAATTGTAGCGGTTCTTTCCCCCATACCTGTCCTCCAACCCCCAAACCATCCCACCTCCTATTCCCTCTCCCATCCCATTCCTCATTAAGATTCATTTTTAATTATCTTTATATACAGAAGATCAACTCTATACTAAGTAAAGATTTCAACAGTTTGCACCCACACAGACACACAAAGTATAAAGCACTGTTTGAAGACTAGCTTTACCATTTGAAATGTCCATTTGAAAGTGGCTGGCACTGTGACCCAGAGGGTAAAGCCCTGGACTGTAGTACCAACATCCCATAATGGTGCTGGCTCAAGTCCTCGCTCTCCACTTCTTTTTTTTTTTTTTTTTTAAGATTTATTTATTTATTTGAAAGGCAGAGTTGGAGAGAGAGAGAGAGAGAGAGAGAGAGAGAGAGATTCTTTCATCCACTGGTTCCCGCCACAGATGGCAGCAACGGCTGGAGCTATGCTGACTCAAAGCCAAGAGCCAAGAGCCTCTCCTGGGTCTCCCACATAGGTGCAGGGACCCAGGGACTTGGACCTTCTTTTACGGCTTTCCCAGTTCATAGCAGAGAGCTGGATCAGAAGTAGAGCAGCCAGGACTCAAACCGGCGCCCATATGGCATGCTGGCACTGCAGGTGGCAGCTTTACCCACTATGCCACAGTGCCCTGCTCCTCTTCTGATCCAGCTCCCTGCTAATGCGACTGGGAAAGCAGTGGATGATGGCCCAAGCACTTGGGAGATGTGGGAGACCTGGAAGAGGCTTCTGGCTCCTGGCTTTGGATCTGCTCAGTTCTGGCTGTTGCAGCTGTTTAGGTAGTGAACCAGCAGATAGGAGACCTCCCCCAACCCTCTCTCTCTGTCTCTGTCTCTGTCTCTACATCTCTCTGTAACTCTGTCTTTCAAATAAATAAAATAAATCTTTACAAAAAATGTGCAATTCATTGGCATTAAGTACATTCACAATGTTTAGCAGCCATCATCACTATCCATTTCCTAAATTTAAAAATAAAATGTATTCCAGCTCCCTGCCAATGTTTCTGGGAGGACAGCAAGAAGGTGGCCCAAGTCCTTGGGCCCCCACACCTATGTGGGAGACCCAAAAGAAGCTCCTGGCTCCTAGCTTCAGCCTGGCCCAGCCCTGGCCATTGCGGCTGTTTGGAGAACGAATCAGTGGATGGAAGACCTCTCTTTCTGTCTCTCTTCTCTTTCTCTAACTCTGCCTTTCAAATAATAAATATTGAAAGTTTACTCATTTACTTGAAAGTGAGAGTTACAGAGAGAGAGGGAAATCAGAGAGAAAGTAGATCTTCCATCTAGAACCGGTGCTGTGGCATAATGGGCCAAGCCTCCTTCTGTGGCACTGACATCCCATATGGCCCCTGGTTCGTGTCCTGGCTGCTTGTCTTCCAATCCAGCTCTCTGCTAATGGCCTGGGAAAGCAGTGGAAGATAACCCAAGTGCTTGGGCCCCTACACCCACAGGAAGAAGCTCCTGGCTCTTGGCTTCAGATAAGCCCAGCTCTGGCCTTTGCGGTTATTTGGGGAGTGAACCAGCAGATGGAAGATTTCTCTCTGTATCTCCTTCTCTGTCTCTGTCTTTTAAATAAATAAATAAATAAATATCTAATAAAATAAAAGAGAGATTTTCTGTCTATTGGTTCATTCCTCACGTGGCTACAATGGCCAGGCTTGAACCAGACCAACGCCAGGAGTAAGGAGCTGAATCCAGGTCTCCCACGTTGGTGGCAGGGGCCCAAACACTTGGGCCATCTGCTGCTGCTTTCTCCAGGCTATTAGCAGGAGTGGAGCATCCAGGACGTGAACTAGTGCCCATATGGAATGCCAGCATCATAGGCAGCAGGTTTACCTGTTGAGCTGCAACGCCAGCCCCCAAAGGTATTTTGTAAAATACTTTTCCAAAGGGAGAGAGAGAAAGAGAAAGAGAGAGAGAGAGAGAGAGAGAGAGAGAGAGAGAGATCTGCTGTGTGGTGCTTCACTACCCAAATGCCTGTGTCAGCAAGGGGCCAGGTTAGGCTGAAGCCAGGATCTGGGAACTCAATCCAGATCCTCTCTCTTTTGTGGCAGGGACCCAACTACTTGCAGCATCACCTGCTGCCTCCAAGGCTGTTCATTAGCAGGAAGCTGGAATAGAGAGTGGAGCCAGGATTCCAATTTAGACATTCCCATATGGGATGTGGGTGTCGCAAGCAGCAGCTGCACCACTCTGCCAAATCCCTGTCCCTCAAAGGTACTTTTGTTGATGGTGATGCAGCTGTGTTACTGAGAGAGGTGGAAGCTATGAATGTCGGCTGTGAAGGGTTTCCAGTGTGCAGTGTCGACTAGTGACTGTTTTGGGTAAAACAAAGCCTAAGGAGATGGTGAGACCCTACGTTCGTTTGGCAGATAGCAAGCCTGAAGGTTTCTGTTGATAAATAGGATTTTCCTCCCAGCACTAACTGTCGTCCCAGCAAGTCTTTCGTGTCTCTGTTTCATGTTGGGAACTCACATTTTTCAGGCCTCAGAAGGGTTTACCTGACGATTTGAGCAGCCTTACTGAGAGAGCTCCCAAAGTAAGTCACAGGTTTGAAAAGCTATGTTTTCTCTTTTCTAGTGCGAATAAAATGCTCATATTTTTCCTTCATTTAACGTTTTTCCTCAGGAAGACTATAATCTGAATAATGAAGATGGTAATAGCTATCTAACAGTGGGTTGCTAATATATGCTAGGCTCTGCATGGCTTTATATGCTATATTTTCAGGAATCTCAGCACAAGTAGGATTTATCTGTGGAAGTTTTGTATGGGTGAGGATTTTATCTCTGTTCTGCACAGAATGTATTCAGCTACTTAGTAAATAACTGTCATCTCATAGGCAGGGAAGTTAGGATGCTGGGATGTCGGACCTAAGTGGGCCTTCAGGTGATCTAGCCTGATGACTTTTAAACTTATTAAGTTATTGCCATGATAAGAGATAGATTTCACAACCAAAATACCAGGGAATAATGCTTAACCTAACTATGGTAACCTCAGATATTTTCTGTCTTATTCTGTTTTATCCTGTTTCATTTTGAAACAGTGTGTGCTCTGATTCACAAATTTGATTTATTACTTATGAACAAGTCTGAAGATCATTACCATGGTTATTCTCATACATCTGCAAAGCCACCTGCAATGCCTGCGTCCCATTGGGTGCCAGTTCAAGTCCTGGCTGCTCCACTTTCAGTCCAGCTCCCTGCTTTGGCCTGGCCCAATACTGGCTGTTGTAGCCACCTGGAGGGGAAGATCTCTTTCAGTGGGTGAAAGATATCTTTCTCTCTCTGTAACTCTGACTTTCAAATAAATACGTAAGTAAATAAATCTTTTTTTTTTTTTAAAGCATAGAAGGAGTTCCAATGAAAGTGAGTCTCCCAGTTCCTCCTTATTCCCCCCAAGTCAGTGAGTTCTTTTTCACAAGGACAAACTCGCTGTTATTATTCTTTTTGTTGTTGTTAAACTATTTATTTATTTGAGAGGCAGAGCTACAGACAGAGAGAGGGAGAGACAGAGAGAAAGCTCTTCCATCTACTGGTTCACTCCCCAAATGGCTGCAATGGGCTGATCCAAAGCCAGGAGCCAGGAGTTTCTTCTGGGTCTCCCATGTAGGTGGCAGGGGCCTAAGCCCTTGGGCCACCTTCCACTGTTTTCCCAAGCCATCAGCAGATAGCTGGATCAGAAGAGGAACAGCCAGGACTTGAACTGGCATCCATATGGAATGCTGGTGCCTTAGGCAGAGGCTTAACTTACTATGCCACAGCACTGGCCTCTATTATTATTCTTTTAAACTCAACTCTTCTCTTCTCTTCTCTTCTCTTCTCTTCTCTTCTCTTCTCTTCTCTTCTCTTCTCTTCTCTTCTCTTCTCTTCTTTTTCTGAAAGGCAGAGGCACATACAGGCAGAGAGAGATGTTCCATTTCCTGATTTACCCCCCAAAAATGCTGGCAACAGCCAGGGCTGTCAGGCTGAAGCCAGGGACCTGGAGCTCAATCCAGGTCTCCCACATAGATAGCAGGGACTTAAGCACTTGAGCTATTACCTGCTGCCTCCCAGGATGCAATTAGGAGGAAGCTGGACTGGAAGTGGAGGAATCAAACTGGAACAATGCACTACCATATAGGACGATACAGGATGTGAAGTTCCATCTGTGACTTAACCACTGTGCCAAACACTCACCCTCATCTTATTTTTAAAGGTTGTTTAGGTTTGTCTTATCAGGAATATGGACTAGATAGCTGATCACAAGGTTTCTTTGATCATTAGTGCTCTACAATCCCAAATAGCTCAATGTGAGAAAGCTTAACACTTTAACTTTTATATAGATGTTTATAATGTAAATGGGGTATAAAATAGAAAACTTGCTTCTATCTCCACCAGTTCTCCCCCTGTTCTTGAACTACCAGTTGTTTTACTTAAAGGGGATCTAAGTCTTTGGAGTGGGGTAGTCAGAATAAACAGTGTTCCCATAGGTAAGCCCCAAGGCTTACCCCAAGGTGAGGTTGGAGTTGCTAAATACCACCCAGTGTCACAGGGAAGCCAAGAAGATTATTCACCTATTAGTACTCACTCCTGTAGACTGCCTATGTTGATATCTGATGAAATAGTTGGTTTTTGGGGCAGAGTATTATGAACATATTTTGGTGTTGAGAAGCCTCCTTTTTACTATCTTCTGAGCCACTAAAATATTTGCTTAACCTGATAATACTCATACAATAGTCAGTGCTACTGACTACTGTTAGGAGCCTGGCACCACAAGCTATATGTAAGATTTATATCTTTCTCTTAGCTTTCAGTGTTGAATTTGAATGAGATAGAAATTCCCTCCTCTAAAGACGTTAGAAATATGGTTGTGGTCTGGATCCCAGAAGAACAGGAGAAGCCTGTGAGGTGAGTATCATGTCTAGAACTTGGGAACTGTTGACCTTTTTATTGTACAAACCCCTGCCCTCCTCTTCAGGCCTCCTTTTTGTGGTCTCTCTTTAGCTCCCATATTGTAAGTAGGAGACCAAGCAGAGCTCTCGGTCTCTTGCATCCGCATCTTGCTGCACTGGAATTCTGTTTTAATGCACTTTGATATTCATGCTGGGACTTTATCAATTTTACATGGCAATAAATAGCTTAGAAGACAAGGCTCAATTTATTTGTGAGGTTCAATTAAGAAAGCAATGCTATTAATTTTCCGTATTAGTCTTCAGAAACTAGTGAAGCATTTCTCAGCAAAGCACATGATATCTGATCTTAACCCCAAGATCTTGTACAGTGGCACAAAATGAATAACGTATAGGACTTGTACACAAAGCAGTGTGTGACAAAGACCATTTGGTGAAGGCCAAAAGGCTTGCTAGCATTGACAGCCATGAGGAGCGAGTTTGCTTCTTTTGTGGTTGTGGATGGCTTCTAGATTCTTACTGCTCAGAGGTGATGAGACTTCAGAATTTCTTTGTCATTGGCCATCTTGCCAATGTCAACCTCAAGAGCTTCTTTTTATTTCGTTTTCTTTTTTCCAAATGATCCTATAAATGCTTCTTTATATGTGAATTTTTATGTATAGATATGTGATATAAACAAACAAACAAGGCCGGCGCCGCGGCTCACTAGGCTAATCCTCCGCCTTGCGGCGCCCGCACACCGGGTTCTAGTCCCGGTTGGGGCGCCGGATTCTGTCCCGGTTGCCCCTCTTCCAGGCCAGCTCTCTGCTGTGGCCCGGGAGTGCAGTGGAGGATGGCCCAGGTGCTTGGGCCCTGCACCCCATGGGAGACCAGGAAAAGCACCTGGCTCCTGGCTCCTGCCATCGGATCAGTGCGGTGCGCCGGCCGCAGTGCACTGGCCGCGGCGGCCATTGGAGGGTGAACCAATGGCAAAGGAAGACCTTTCTCTCTGTCTCTCTCTCTCACTGTCCACTCTGCCTGTCAAAAACAAACAAACAAACAAACACTCCTAAGGATTTATTTCCTTTCATTCAAAAGAAGCCCAGAGATGGGTAGGCCAGGGCTAGTGTGTCAGCTCTATGAGGTAGTCAGAAGCCAGGATGCCTTCTGGTTTTCTGGGCCATCCCCTTTAGTCTGTGGCTTCCATCTTCAAGGCACTTCATAGGTACCTTTAAGTCTAAGTTGGCTGCTAATGCACCAGGTATTATATAAATTTCTAGTCAAGAAGGAGGCAAAAAGGACAGAGTAAAAAGTACTTCTTGAACATTTCCTCTTTGCCAAGCAGTGAGCACCCACTGGAAAACCAGATAGATTTGGTCCCTGTCCCTCCTAGAGCTATATGGGGGGGTGAAAGGGAGGCAGACAATACGAACATAATCACACTTAAGTGTATAATTCCTAATTTGGATTCATGCCATGAAAGTAAATTACTTGATTATCTGAGAGAATGGCGATAGTAAGGTATCTTTTTAAAAAAATTTATTTATTTAACAGGCAGAGTGATATAGAGGGAAACAGAGAGAGAGGAAAAAAGGAAAGGAGGGAGGGAGAGAGGGAGAAGAAGAGAAGGAGGAAAGGTTGGGGGAGGTAGAGAGAGAGAGAGAGAGAGAGAGAGAGAGAGAATGTTTCCTCTGCTGGTTCACTCCCCACATGGCTGCAACAGCAAGGGCTGGGTCAGGCTGAAGCCAGCAACCAGAAACTCCATCCTGATCTCCCACATGGGTGGCAAGGACTCTGGTAGTTGAGCCATTGTCTGCTGCTTCCCAGGTGTGTCATCAGGGAGCTGGATTAGAAGCAGAGTAGCTGAGACTTGAACCAGCACTCTGATGTAGGATGTGGGTGTCCCAAGTGGCAACTTAATCTGCCACACCACAATGCCTGCTGCCCTCTTGCCATGGTGTCTTTTTAAAGGTAAGTCCCTGGCAGCAGATACTGCTGGACTCATAGAAACCATCTTTGAGTACTGATGAGGGAGAGAATCTTCATCATCACCATTCACAGATATCCTTGGTTCTTCTACTTAAGATGTCTAGGGATAAGGGTTGCTCTCTTTCAGTCCAGCTGAAAAAAATGCCTTTTCCCCCCAGCCAGCATGAGAAAAAGAAAAGAAAGAAATCAACAGTGGTGAGTTCAATATTTTGTGCAAACCTTTATGATATTACTCTGTAGGATTTATTTTTGTGTTCCTCTCAGGTCTCCCCAGCCCCCACCCTTAGCCTCTTCCTTAATGAACAAAATCAGCAAAAGACAATCCTCCTTTTAGAATAATTACCCAACCACTTGCTATTCAGAGACTCCTTTTCCCTGTGTCACCTGCTGGGGAGCTGAAGAGTACTTTGAAGAGATGATAGGATAATCATTGAGTGTTCGGGGGTACTTTTTGGCCAATTTCCAGTGCAGTGGAGTAGAATTTCAGTGGACCAAGAGTAAGACCTGTGCTTCTAATTCTGATTCTACTGTTTATGGGTAAACATGGCCTGGGGGGAGGCACAGGGCTCTAGGACTGCTGGGCCCATGGGAGTAGTATCTATTCCATTTCATTTGTTGCTGAATCCTCATCCCTAGCTCTGTGCTTGGCACATAGACAATAAATTTCCACTCAGTTTGTTGAATGAATAAATGAAATAGCTAGAAAAATAACACAACACAACTAATTCTTGGATAATCTCAGTACAACAATAGGGTCGGGGGCCTAGAGGGAAAGATGTGGTAGTCCTCTGTGCAGAGGAGGTGGGGATGGCTGGTGCTGACCTGGAAACTGAGTTTCACATATCGGGGCTGAGTTGGGAGGCTGGAATGTTAAGGGGAAGAAAAAGGCTTGAAGAGAGTGCTTTGCACAGTTCTTTCCATAATTTCTCTTCCAGAAGAACAAGTTGTCTCTGGGTCTGCCTGGAAAGCAGCACACAAGAGCACAGTTGAGAGCGCCGGCGATAACTGTGCCCCCCGCTTCTCCAGTCCATTTGTATGAGCAGTTCAGTTCGGAATCCATGCCTGTGTGGGCCCCAGTTGACATGTTACCTCTGGATCTGGTGGCCGAGTAAGTATCCCTTAGGCCTGTAGGACAGCCTGAGTGCCAGCTGTTGGTTAACACTGGGAAGGGTCTAAGCGGTGCACTCTTTCCCAGCAAGTAGCAGGCTGAGCAAAAAACTGTCGCAATACTTAGTTACTGAATTCTTAGACTGTCTGACAGGCAGCGATGACAAGAGTTAACCATCAGGGCCTGCACTGTGGTGTAGTGGGCTAAGCCTCCACCTGCAGTGCTGGCCTCCCATATGGGCACTGGTTCTAGTCTTGGATGTTCCTCTTCTGACCCAGCTCTCTGCTATGGCCAGAGAAAGCAGTAGAAGATGGCTGAAGTACTTGGATGCTTGCACCTGTGTGGGAGACCTGGTAGAAGCTTTCTTTGTATCAGCCCAGCTCTGGCCACTGTGGCAATTTGGGGAGTGAACCAGTGGATGGAAAACCTTTCTCTGTCCCTCCCTCTCTCTGTCTTTAACTCTACCTCTCAAATAAATACATTTATTTTTTTATTAAAAAAGAGTAACCATCACCATTTACCAAGCACTTGCTGCCAGCCAGGCTCCGGGCCTAGCACTGTACACACGCTCTCGTGTTAGCCTCCATTGGCAGGAAAGGCGCTATTGCTCTCTTCTTCTATTGTGGGTGAGTGGGAGGCAGAATGGAGTTTGGAGTGAGATGACCTTTGAATTTTTGTTGAAACTTAACCAGCTTGTGAATTTGCTGGATATGTTTAGCCTGTGTAAGCTTCATTTTCCTCATTTGCAAAGTAGAGATAATAATACCCATGCTCAGCGGGTTGTAAGGATGGAGTGATTCAAAGTGCATGAGCCTGGCATGGGAACTTAGTGCAGCCTGGGCCATCAAGTTGCATGCGTAAGGCGTCCCGGTGAGCAACTGCTGGTGCAGGCCTTTGGGCTGAAAGTGGAAGTTCCTTCAAACACGGACCTTCAGACCTTTCATCCAAACATCCCTTCAAACATTTCATCACTTTCTCCTCAGTCACACACTCGGAGAAGAGGTGTTGCTGACTGTCTGGCTCTGTCCGCCCCCATCAGCCTTTTCCCAGGTGGAGGGAGAGACATGCCTTGCCCGGAGTTGAAGATCCAGCTGGCCATGGTGAAGAAGACACTTCCCCTGGAAAAGGACCGGCCCGACAGTGCGCTTTCTTCTAAGATGTTTCTGACTACCCACCGCCTCACCCTGCAGGTAAGTGCTGGGAGCCGCCCAGGAAGAGGCCTGCGTGAGGAAGAGCTGGCTTTGTGCCCCTTATTTCTCTTTTGCCCTTACGCTCTGCATGCAGGCCCCGCAGGAGGTGGACTCTATGGAGGTGAAGGCCAGTGTATGGGGAGAGTTTGAGGAGAGCTCTGTTGGTGATTCCTCCGCACTTCAGTCCCCATGCTTTTTCCTCCCTCTGTAGGCCCTGGTACAATGCTGCAAAACACCAGGTTGTCAAAATAGCCTTGTTGATTAGAGAATAAATGCGTTGAGGGATACTCTTGGGAAAAAGGGAAAATCTACAGCTGAGCTTTTCTTAAATTCTTTTTCCCTCCAGAGACCATCGTTACGATATCCTGAGCATTGGAAGAAGTTACAATACAGCCTAAAGATAGAAGGTAGATTTGCTGATGTTGCTGCATCCGCGTGCACTCTTCCCCCTCCAGCCCACGCTGCGCATACTTTAACTTGGTCCCAGTTAATTATCTCTGTGGCCACAGTCAGGGCCCCAGGTCAAGAACTCAGCAAACTCCAGTTTCAGGAAGTAGCTGCCTCAGGCTTGGTCCTAACCAGGGAGAGTCACCATTGTGGGGCAGGTCACAGCAGGCAGCCCGGCAGGAGGATGGGGCCTGTCTGTGGCAAGAGAATTGAGCTGGCTCTCTGGTCACCAGGTCTCAGGAAACAGCAGTGGTGGCAGCAGCAACAGAGGAAGGTGAAGACGCCTACTAAGAAACAGTAGGGTGATAGTGAGAGGACGCCTGGGCCCCGCTGGGACTGGAAGAAGCTGGTGCAGCCTGCAATGGGAAGGGATGCGTGAGGGGGCTTCTCTCTGTCTTGTGTGGCTGTGGACACAGAGTTCCTGTCTGCTTGTAGATGTTCTTTCTTGCTGTCTCCTTTTTAAAAAGTTTACCTCACTTCCAGAAGTCCCAATTTGGTTCCTTCTCTTGTGAGTTTCAGGGGGCTAAAAAGAAAGCCAAAGGCGATGCAAAGAGGTGGGACATGTCTCGTCAACATTCGGTTAACATCGTCTGCGACTCTGTCTGTGGTAAGGAGAACATGTGCTTGGTCGGGAGGGATGGAATCCCCGAATGTAACTGAGGACAGAGAAAATCCAACATGCTTTTGCCATTACGTGACCTGCCTTTGTCAGGCCCTCAGAGTTCTTGGAGTGCTTCAGCCTGGCTGAACTAATCCGTATCCTTTGTCCATCAAATACTTGGCAAGCCAGCTGGGCTGGATGTCTGCTTTGCCTGGGGATTTGAGAGATGACCCTCAGCACGAGTCCGTTATTTTTGCCTCTGGTCGTACCTTAGAGAAGACAGGGCTTTGAGGATCAGGGCGTGAGCAAGTCCAGGTTCCTGAAGAGATTCCCATGAGGATCCACTGGCCAAGGAGGGAGGAAAGAGCAGGGGCACCTCGCTAGGGCCTCAGAAGACTCCTAAGAAAGCAGAGTCCCCGGGCCCTGCTGCTTCCCCACCATGACGAGGGAATCACTGGAGCCTCGGGTGGTGTCAGCATGCTGTCCAGGGTGGTGTCAGCACGCTGTCCAGCCCCGTGAGGAAGCAGGCAGCCACCTCATGGCAGGCAGGCCTTTCTCTTTCGTGTTTGTGCCAGAGGTGAGAATGACTGTCTCGCTTTTCTGGATCCCTTCTTGTTTCTGCGCTGACAGATACACTGACCTTGACCCTCTAACATCTGACAGCTTGAGCACAGGATGGGAGGGAGGGAGAATACAGAGAGGAAGAAAGATCCTCTGAAACCTTGTGAGATTATTCCACTCTCCTCAGACTGACACTGCTGGCTTTAACGTGAGGGCAGCTGGGTAATCATCAGCATTGCCCCTCTGCTTCTGGGGCTTTGGGAGGGCTCAGGTGAGCTGTTCCTGAGAAGGATGCTGCGCCTTACTTAGCTGCCCCTCCTGCTGAGCTCTGAAACCAACGATGCCCTCCAACCTGAGGACGTCGGGAGATCCCCGACCTTCCCAAGGGAGGAGCCAGGATCAGGGCTATGGCCCACGGTGGGAGGAGACGTGTCCAGGAGTGGCAGCCCCTCCAGGTGATCACTGCTGCTCCCCCGAATGCCATTCCAGTGCCTTTTATACCCCTTCTTGATACCTCCAGTAGGAGCCGTTTTGCTTGGGTGACTGGGGAGCTCCTTGAGTTATTTCCTTAGGGCAGTGGCCTGTCCTCACTGAGTTGAGAAAGGTCTGATAGAAGAGATGATTCTTGTACTGAAACTTTTTTTTAAAAGATATTTTATTTGAAAGAGATACAGAGGGAGAGAGAAGGAGAGACAGAGAGAGAACTTCCATCCTCTGATGCATTCCCCAATGGCCACCATAGCTGCGGCTGGGACAGGCCAAAGCCAGGAGCCAGGAGCTTCTTCCAGGTCTCCCATGTGGGTGTAGGCACTCAAGCACTTGGGCTGTCCTGTACTGTTTTCCCAAGTGTATTAGCAGGGAGCTGGATTGGAAGTGCAGCAGGCAGGACTCAAACTGGTGCACGTACGGGATGCCAGCACTGCAGATGGCAGTTTAACCTTCTTTTTTTTTTTTTAAAAAAAGCTTTTATTTAATGATTACAAATTTCATAGGTACAACTTTAGGAATATAGTGGTTCTTCCCCTCATACCGACCCTCCCACCCCCACTCCCGTCCCGCTTCCTACTCCCTCTCCCATCCCATTCTTCATTAAGATTTGTTTTTAATTAATTTTATATACAGAAGACCAGCTCTATACTTAGTAAATATTTCAACAGTTTGTACCCTCCCCCACAATGCATAAAGTACTGTTTGCAGTTAATTCTCATAGTACAACTCATTAAGGACAGAGGTCCTGCATGGGGAATAAGTGCACAGTGACTCTGTTGTTAATTTAACAATTAACACTCTTATTTATGACATCAGTGTTCACCCAAGGCTCTTGCCATGAGCTGCCAAGGCTATGGAAGCCTTTTGAGTCCACATACAGACTCCATCAGTATGTAGACAAGGCCATAAGCAAAGTGGAAATTCTCTCCTCCCTTCAGAGAAAAGTATATCCTTCTTTGATGGCCCCTTCTTTCCACTGGGATCTCACAGAGATCCTTCATGTAGGACTTTTTTTTTTTTTTTTTTTTTTTTTGTGCTGCTGTGTCTTGGCTTTCCATGCTTGAAATGCTGTCATGGGCTTATCAGCCAGTCCAGAGTGCCTTAAGGGCTGCTTCTGAGGTCAGAGTGCTGTTTAGGGCATTCTATGAGTCTGCTGTGTGGACTGCTTCCCATGTTGAAACATTCTCTCCTTTTAAATTCTATTTTTATTACCAAACATTTGGTCTTATTTATGTGATCCCTTTGACAGTTAATCCTATCTGTATGATCAATTTCTTACTTAATATGATCACTTTAACATGTAAGATGGCATTAGTACCACCCAGCTTAATGGGATTTGGATTTGCTTGGCAAGTTTTTAGCTTTACCCTTAGGGGTAAGTCCATGGGAATGTGTGCCAAACTATATAGCTCCTCCCTCTCTTATTCCCACTCTTATTTTTTTTACTGGGATCTATTTTCAATTGACTTTATACACCTATGATTAATTTTATGTTAAGTAAAGAGTTAAACCAATGATATCAAATAATAAATAAATAAAAATAATTAAAAAATAAAATAAATTAACAAACTGTTCCTTGACAGTCAAGACAAGGGCTGTTCAAGTCATTGCTTCTCATAGTGTCAGTTTCACTTCTACAGGTTTCCTTTTAGGTGCTCTGTTAGTTATCATAGATCAGGGAGGATATATGGTATTTTTCCCTTTCAGACTGGCTTATTTCACTAAGTATGATGTTTTACAGATTCATCAGTTTTTTTTTTAAATGACCAAATTTCATTTTTTTTACAACTGTGTAGTATTCCATAGAGTACATATCCCATAATTTCTTTATCTAGTCTTTGGTTGATGGACATTTAGGTTGATTCCATGTATTAGCTATTGTGAATTGAGCTGCAATAAACATGGAGATGTAGATAGCTCTTTTATTTGCTGATTTCATTTCCCTTGAGTAAATTCTGAGGAGTGGAATGGCTGGGTTGTATGGTAGGACTATATTCAAATTTCTGAGGTATCTCCAAGCTATCTTCCATGGTGTTTTTACCAGTTTGCATTCCCACCAACAATGGATTAGGGTGCCTTTTCCCCACATCCTCGCAAGCATTTGTTGTTTGTTGATTTCTGTATGAAAGCCATTCTAACTGGGGTGAGGTGATGCCTCATCGTGGCTTTGATTTGCATTTCCATGATGGCTAGTGACCCTGAGCATTTTTTCATGTGTCTGTTGGCCTTTTGGATTTCCTCTTTTGAAAAATGTCTGTTTAAGCCCTTTGCCTATTTCCTGACTGGGTTGTTGTTTTTTTTTTTTGTTATTGTTGAGTTTTTTGATCACTTCATATATTCTGGTTATTAATCCTTTATCAGTTGCATGGTTTGCAAATAATTTCCCCCATTTTGTCAGCTGCCTCTTCACATTTCTGACTGTTTTCTTTTGCAGTACTGAAGCTTTTCAATTTGATGTAATATTGTTTGTTGATTTTGGCTTTTATTGTCTGTGTCTCTGGGGTCTTTTCTAGGAACTCTTTACTTGTGCCAATGTCTTGCAGGGTTTCCCCAATGCTCTCTAATAGCTTAATGGTATTGGGTCATAGATTGAGGTCTTCATCCATTTTGAATGAATTTTTGTGTAAGGTCTAAGTTAGGGGTCCTGCTTCATGTTTCTGCATGTGAAAATCCAGTTTTTCCAGCACCATTTGTTGAAGAGACTGTTCTTGCTCCAGGGAATGGTTTTATCTCCTTGGTCAAATATAAATTGGTTATAGATGTTTGGATTGATTTTTGACATTTTTATTTTGTTGCATTGGTCTATCCATCTGTTTTTGTGCCAATACCGGGCTATTTTGATTATAACTGCCTTGTAATATGTCTTGAAATCTGGTATTGTGATGCCTCTGGCTTTGTTTTTGTTGTATAAGATTGCTTTAGCTATTGAGGTCTCCTGTGTTTCCAAAGAATTTCAGCATCATTTTTTCTAGATCTGAGAAGAATGTCTTTGGTATTTTGATTGGTATTGCATTGAATCTGTAAATTACTTTCAGAAAAATGGGCATTTGGTGATATTGATTCTTCTAATCCATGAACATGGAAGTTTTTACTTTTTTATGTCTTCTATTTCTTTTTAATGTTTTGTAATTCTCCTCATAGAGATCTTTGATGTCCTTGGTTAAATTTTTTCCAAGGTTTTTTATTTTTTTGTAGCTGTTGTGAATTGGAATGATCTTAGAAGTTCTTTCTCACCTGTAGCATTATATGTGTATCCAAAGGTATTGTTTTTTGTGTGTTGATTTTATATTCTGCTATTTTACCAAACTCTTTTATGAGTTCCAGTAGTCTCTTAGGGGAGTCTTTTGCATCCCCTATATATAGAATCATATCATCTGCAAAGATGGATAGTTTGACTTCATCTTTACTGATTTGAATCCCTTGGGGCTAAAACTTCCAGGACTTTATTGAATAGCAATGGTGAGAGTGTGCATCCTTGTCTTGTTCTAGATCTCAGTGGGAATGCTTCCAACTTTCCCCCAGTCAATAGGACGCTGGCTATGGGTTTGTCATAAGTTGCCTAGATTGTGTTGAGGAATATTCCTTCTAAACTCAATTTGCTTAGTTTTAATAATGAAAGGGTATTGTATTTTGTCAAATGCTTTCTCTGCATCTATTGAGATAATCATATGGTTTTTGTTCTTCAGTTTGCCAATGTGATGTATTACATTGATTTCTGTATGTTGAACCATCCCTGCATACATGGGATAAATCCCACTTCGTCTGGGTGAATGATCTTTCTGATGTGTTGTTAGATTTGATTGGCTAGAATTTTGTTGGGGATTTTTGCATCTATGTTCATTAGGGAAATTGGTCTGTAGTTCTCTTTCTCTGTTGCATCTTTTCCAGGTTTAGGAATTAAGGTGATATTGGCTTCATAGAAAATTTGGGAGGATTCCCTCCCTTTCAATTGTTTT